TAGTTAACTAGAGTAATTACACAACATGCCATTGATATAAATATACATATATGATATAACAAATGATATAGCAATAGGCAATGGCACATTTACTCCTCGCATATAGTGAACTACACTATTAATAAAATATGCATATAGAAGGCCTGTGTTACATTTTTTGTACGATTTCATTTTATTGTCTACTGGGCATATATTTAAATTTTATATTTTAAATTTTCTTATAGAACAATTTTGTTACATTTTATTGTACGATATATTTTATGTATATATATATATTGTAAATATTGTAAATGTATTATGTAATATAAAACATGCATATAGAATGATTTTGTTACATGTTTTTGTACGATTTATTCAAAATATATTTCGTTACATAAGTATAAATAAAAATCGCAAATGCTATCACCTTATTTTTATTGTCTCTGGGCATATATTTAAATTTTATATTTTATTTTTTATTTTTTAATTTTTTATTCAACATGCCTATAGAACGATTTTGTTATATGTTTTTCTACGATATTTTATATTTTATATTTTATTCAAGAAGGGGATATTCGTGTCTCATCAGAAAATTAAGGGATTTCAGTTTCCTTATATGCATTTGTAGTATTAGTTGTGGCTACAATTATGTTCAATCAAAATTAATGGCTGAATCTGCATGCGTATTTCAGTTTTCCTTATATTCACGCATAATATCAGTTTCCCTTATATGCACGAACCATTTGTTGTTATTGTATTTGAATATCGAATGAATATATTTCATAGATCGTCGAATATTAAACCAGACGACCCACTTTTACACACAAAGTTAATATTAAGTAACTTCAGTCAGATATTTTTAGTAAGTAAATCTCGGAATTTTTTCATTAGGTGAATGGTTTAATGGTTTCTTTCCGATTGAATGTCAATCATTCTGAATTAAATGAGATACCCATAAATTTGAACTTGCTTTATAGACAAGCGCAATGAGATACTCATAAATTTGAACTTGCTTTAAACTAATTAATTGTTATTTTTGTCTGTAGGATTACAAACGAAGAGTTTTGAAGACAATTTCAATTATTATATCATGTTTAATTTTCTATCTATTATTTTATTTTAATATAATTTTTTCTCATTATATCATGTTTTATTTTTCTATGTTTTATTATCCTATTAATTATTTTTATTTATTTTCTACTGTTTTTTAATAGACGATTTCTTTACTTTTTTGTATCATCATATATCTATAAGACAAACAAATATATAAAACAAACAGTGAAAACTATATTCTATGAATCATTGATTCGTTTCGCAGCTATACTAATTTCTCATTATATGATTATATGATTTTTATTACTGATTCACATCCACTACCTATTTTTAGTTAAACAAATTAATATACCAAATTATTGTTCGATCAAAGTTAAAATCATCTCACTTTGCGCAGGACGCGGATCAACATCTAGTATTCGGTTATTTCGGGTAAGAACTGTTTGTATACAGTACACTGAAATCGGGTAATATCTGGCGCCGGTGGGCAAGTCGGTTGGGTGTCCATATACCTCCTCGTTATCAAAAAAAGTTGAACTGTTTGTATATTCCTTTAGCTGTCTCATGTAAGATTCCCCTATGGAGTAATACATTTGTATCCCGTAGGCCGTAGGCTGTAGTGACCATCCATATTATTACCTTCCAAGAAGCTCAAGAATCAAATCCCTTATGAGTCTATGACATCGTCGCACACTCTATATATTATTTGAGAATCATTTAAAAAGTTTTAACCTTAATTTGTAAGAATTAAAAATAACTCCAATCCTACGTGGCATAGCTATTTGGCTTCTATTTCAAATCCTAAGGATTCTAGAGCATGTGATATAATATATAGTTTAAAAATTAAATTCTTTAGCAATAGAATATTCCGTAGGCTATAGTTGGTCGCATATATCAAATATTTATTGTTTCGCATGCTTTCCTTAAATAAACCTACGGAATTACCTAATGTGATCAAAATATATATATGACAATTAATGATTTTAAACAATAAAGATTTGATAACAATCTGTATATTTTTTTCATTTTGTTTATTTCTTTATTATTAAAATAAATTACACAATTACATTAATCATATAATAAAAATCTAGATTTTTTTTTGTGTATGTTGTATTTCAAATTTTTCAAAATGAGTATAAATTACTAAAACTGTTAAAAGTCCCACATAAACTTTTAAGATAAGGGTTTTAATTTTTTTTTCTATACTAAAATATAATGATTATAAGACCATATGAAGAAATACTTTTAGTTTATATATATTTAATATCATTTTAATTAAACTATACATCGTATGAAAATACATATTTATATTTTGATATTTGCCTTGAACATATATTTAAAAGTTAATATTTTAATTTTGAAATATATCATTGTTTTTCTGAAATGATTATAAATTATTGAAACTACTAAACATCTCAAATTAAAAAGAAAATCGATGGTGTAAAGTTTTGTTACACAAATATGCAAATAATCATAAAATCATATGAGTAGAAACCTCATTTAATAAATATCCATATTAAAAGTGTGTAATATTACTATGTTTATATCATTTAAATCTAATTATATATCATTTAAATCTAATTATATATCATATACAATATATAAGATTGATTATTTTAATTTATTTACCCTAATTGTGAACAAACAAGAGTAATAGTTAAATTTATATGCATACGCCAATTTATTATATAAAAGTAACTGATTTCTTAGTTATTTAATATATATTTATTATTTTATTATTTACAATATGCAGAAAGATATAAATAAATAATAAATATAAATATTTATTGTGCATAAATTGCAGATCTTAACCTAAGTATGTATCTCTTTAATTATTTTAAATCTTAAGTATTTTCTAAAACAAAGGAAATGAGATTAAAATTAAAAATAAATATTTATATCCAGTAATAAACAAAATATAAAAAAAAACATAGCAAGAGAAAAATGGAAGATAAATAGGACTGACACGTGAACGTAAACTTCTCATAACCATAATTAATTTTTAAATTGTTAAAACATGATATAAAACTGAGTTAATTTTTAATTTGTTAACTTTTAATTTTTTTTAACTTTTTTAAATCATTATGGTTATGTTAAATCATGACCATAATTAATTTTAAATTGTTTATTTGTATTTGAAAAACTTAAAAATTGTTTTTAAAAATAATTTAAAATTTAACATATTTTTTTATAAATTATTTTTAAAAATAATAATTTGTAAAAAATATAATTTTCTAATATTATTAGACAGATAAATAAATTATATTAAATTAGTTTTGAAACTTTATATATTTTAAATGCAAATATTTTACCAATTGCTTCTTAAAAAAACATTAGGGAACTTGCTAATACTCTACCAATCAAGCCCAGTGACACTCCATTTATTTTCCATCACTCGAACACTGAAAAGTGAAAAAGATATATGAAATCAGATCCGTTAAATTCTAAGATTTGATCTACATTTCTAACTAAAATTGTTTCTGATCCTACGTATAGATAATTATATAAAAATTTCAAAATTCTGAAATTTCACATACATACAAAAACAATCATATGTAAATTTTAAATTTGTCAATACTAAAATTTTATATTTTAATTATATATATTTACCATGCGCAAGGCGCAGGTCTTATCCTAGTTAAGGAGATTATAACTTGAAAAAAAATGATTTCATTGAGAAAGCCCAATTGTCTTTTGTTTTTGTTAAAAGTCAAATGGTCAATAAATATCTGAATATATCATGATATTTAAGTGATATGTCGTACACCTCATCAATGCCATTAAAATAAAATGAACGATTTATGTTTTCATAAATTAACATTGATCTTATGAATTAATTTGATTTTTTATTAATGGTTTTTTAGTCTTTTTATTTAGACCTAAAAACTATATGCTAATGGATTTCATTAATGGGTTGATTTTCTTTCAAATTTTATAAAACAAAATCTTGCAAAACTATTTTTTTTGCGGGTCAAATGAGTCAAGTTTTTCATTCGAAAAAATTACTCAACCCGCTACAGAGCGGGTCGGACGGGGCGGACCGGACTGAATGATTGAAATTTTGTAAGTAAATGATTTTACGAAACAAAATAAAAAAATAGACCATTTAATTGTAAAATATACAATCTTTCTCAAGTATGTACACATTTCAGGTACAACCATTGTTAACTTATTTAGAAACATAAAAAAATTGTCTGAGATATTATAAAATAAAAATTTCTTCATACCCTTATATTAACTTGATTTTGATTCTATGACATTTTATTTCATCAAAACAAAAAACTTATCGATTCATCTGTAGATAAAATAACAAAAATAGTACCCACGCTTTTTAAACACAGATCAATAATCTAGTACTCATTTAAAATGTATCATCTTTTATTATGAAAATCCTTTAACAAAAAAAAAAGATATCATCTAATATTGTTAAAAGAAATAATTATATATCTGAAAGAGGTGAACTCTAGATTGGAAGCTTTAGACCATGTGTTAAGAAAAGAGGTGATTTAATTAAATCAAAAGAAAATAAAAAAGGCAATAATCGATCCTTAACTAGGAATTTGGGAAACATTTCTGATGACAGTGACAAAATTACAATTCTCTAAACTAAAAATAGTCACAATGCTATATGCATAATTAATTTGAAAAAAAAGTTAGGTTTATAAAATCATCTGAAAATGATGTACATCGCGCATCGCATATGAACACTTTGAAGGGCCAACGCTAATAAAGAACACATACCTAACTCACCGGGAATAATAAATAACATAACGTTGATCTTCATAAGATTTGTTTCACCAACATATCCACAATAATAATCGAATATGCGAATAATAATAAGTTAATAACTAATTAATATATCGATGGACCCATAATAATAAACTCAAAATATAAAAAAACTAGTGGAATATATATATATATATATATGAAGCTGACGTTAATCATCTGTACATTGCACCAAACTCTCTGCAACTTGTAACCCCAAACCTTATCTCATCAACCTATTCTTCTTCGTAAAGTCTCTAGAATCATCGAACTTTTATATTCTCTCTTAGTTTTCTTGATATACAAAGAGATTCATAAGATCATAAAAAAAAAAACTGAGAATTTTTTTTTCTATAAACGAGAATTATCTATCTGAAACATGAACTCAACGGCAGCTGTCGGAGACGGTGGTGTTTCAGGTGGCGCGGCGGAGTTTCTCCAGATTAGATTGAATCATAGACATGATCCCAAGGACAACCAGTGTTCTTCGGTTCTCGTTAAGCATATCAAAGCGCCTGTTCATCTCGTAAGTCTCTGTTTCTTCATGCAACTTTTCACCAAGAATTGCAAAACATATAAGGATTCTGCTTTGATGATCATATCAGGTTTGGTCTCTGGTGAGGAGATTCGATCAGCCACAGAAGTACAAGCCTTTTATCTGCAAGTGTGTGATGAAAGGTGACGTTGGCATCGGCTGTGTTCGAGAGGTAGACGTTAGATCTGGCCTCCCGGCTACAACTAGCACCGAGAGATTGGAGTTCTTGGACGATAACAAACACATTCTTGGTATCAGAATCGTCGGTGGTGATCACAGGCTTAAGGTTTATCTCCTGTAGTGACTAGCCTTTTACCACTTTTCAATGAACTAAACCTTCTGTTCTTGCAGAACTACTCATCAGTGGTAACAGTACATCCAGAGATAATAGATGGAAGAGAGGGCACAATGGTAATAGAGTCATTTGTGGTGGATGTACCAGAAGGGAACACCAAAGACGAGACTTGTTACTTCGTGGAAGCACTTATACGATGCAATCTCAAATCTCTATCCAGTGTTTGCGAAAGAATGGCTGCTCAGGACAGGGCATGAATTATGTACTGGTACTTAAAAGTGTTCTTCCCCAAACTGTAGGATCGTACAGCAACAATTTAGTAGGCGAAATTGATCACGTGACACACATACTCTCTGGATTATAGCCAGAGACTAGTACTTATTTGGGACATCTCCATGACTGATTCTGAGTGTACTGGTTGTATAAGTTATAAATTTGTGGATCGATAATTTAGTAGGAATGTGGCTTTACCTTTCAGTCAAGTTTCTATTTGTAAAATATATGGACCACCAAAAAGTGAGTTAAGATATAAAAAAAAATGGTTTTTGAAAACAGAGGAAAATTCAAATCCCAACTTCTATATATCCAAGTTTTTGAAATTACAACCAAAACTAAACAAAATACATATTATTGGATAAATTATATTGCAGCAACTTGAGTCACTTAACGTCATTAGTGGTCTTGGGTAGAAGCAATGGAATCATCAACTTCTGGTCATGTGAAAATATATAAAATTTCCGCCAACAATTTTCAATATTTCTTATAGTTCAGCTGGTTAAAATTGTGGTGATATACCAAAAAGTGCTAAGTTCAAATTTGTTCAACATCCTTTTAAACTATTACTTTTACTAGAGACTTTTTTCGGGCTACGCCCGGGTAATTTATACAAATATCCTTACATTCTAATTTATATATTAGATCGATGTTATCCATAGGGAAAATGAATTAAGATTTTTGTAAACCTTAGTTTTTATTAAGTAAATTCTTTAATTCATTATACTTAGATTATTTAAATATTTGTGTTCGTTTCAGTTTTGTTTAACATTAGTTTTTCGTTTTATTTTATGTTACGTGTCAACTGTTATTTTGTAGTTTTCTTTATTTTTGTATCATATATTTCTATAGGAACTGTTTTTGAGATTAGATTCACCTTATCCTCAATATGGTTGGCTATATTTGCTAACATGATTATAGAAATAATTTTAATATTTGGGTAGGCCAGTCGTACATCCCTTCTTTGGTGTTGCCTTAGATTAACGGGATCCCAGAGCTCAAATCCTTCCCTTCATAGGAAGCAGTTAAAAAATTCTACCAAAACCTTGTTAGCATTACAAAGACAATAGACAGAGAGCATGTTCTTTTGAATATTATATACACATAAATATTGTTTAGGCGCAATGGTCGAGTAAGAGTAGATAGGAAAAGATAGTCAGTATGAGATATCGATAAACTTGATCCATCACCAGTGAGTTCCGAGTCAGCACCGTTGTAGGGTTGATCAGTGGTGCCATATAAAAAAGAGTTAAGGATTTATCTAGTTATATATTTGTAATCTCATACCGTCAAGAATGGCCTTATTGTTTGACGTATGTAGATTGGAAATTATAGTCTTTGAAGTTACTGTTTATTTTCAAATTAATGTATTAGCTTATGTGAGTTATTTGTTTTTAATTTATATTGGGGTCTGTAAATTATTTGGAGGGGCTTTGATGGATGTGAATAGGATGATGAGTAGTGCTTCTTAATGAAATGATTGCTGTCAAGTTTAGCTTGCGAATCACTCAAATATAAAGTGTTGGAATTCGACTATCTAAGAGATTTGTCTTCTAATCATGTGGTTCCTTTTTTGGTCTGTATTGACCTTTGAGGCTGTATTATTATTATTATACGTGTCTACTATTTAGGCAGAATGTCATCATCTATTTATACTAAAAACGAAAAAAGAACCTCAGAAAATGGTGGGAACATTATAGTTCTATGATTCATAAAAAGAAAAATTTCTATGATTCAGAGTGTCATTTTCTATTAGATCCCTTTAATTTATGCGTGCAGATATTGTAATTTTATAAACCGTTGAGTATTTACCTTATAGGTGTTAGAAAATAGAATATGTTTTACTGGTTAACTGTATGTTTATTTCATTCTTTCATCCCCAACCAACCATTATTTTATACACGCATTTCATTTTAGTATCTTCTTATTTTTTTTTGACTAAATTTCATTGTAGTATCGGTATGAACGTTTATTTAAAATCATATTTATTTAACAATTTCATTCTTTATATTTCACTTAGTATGAGAATGAAGTTTATCTGAAATCATATTTTCTACCTTCAAGAAGAACACACCTTTAAATGTTTGTTAATTTAAGTTTTTATCTGTAATGATAATTGTGTGAGAAAATCTTTCAAAATTTTAATTCAGATAACACGACTTCGATGCCAATAGCCTTCTCAGATTTGATCACCATTGTTGATGATTGCAAAGGTAAGATTTTTCGATTTCTTTGAACTGTTGCTTTCTTTGGACTGTTCGTCTTTTGCTATTCGATGTGTTTGCATTTTGAGAGGCGCTTAAATCAAAAATACATAGAGAATAAGAGAGATGATGACAGTACGGTTGGTGAATGAGGAAGATGAAAAGCATGTTTCGTTGTTTAGATTTTTTTTACTCTATAGAAGCTGGTCTGATGTGGCAAAATAACTCTTTTTATTGGTTAATTATTTAATCTGATGTGTCTTTATGAGAGGGAAGGATTAAGACCTTTTAATATAGTATAGATTACAGGCCTTAAGCAATTTTATGTGCTTCCGGCCCATGATTTTTTTGGTTTTCTCAGGACTGGACAAGCTTAATGTCACTTCTCGAAGGAATGATCTTTTGTATTAACTAAACAAAGTATTTTTCTCTATTTGCAAACCAGAGTAGATTTTCAGATGCCCACAAAGAGATCTTACACACTTGTAATGATTACTTTACCTTAGAGTTCTTGGGTCCATGAGTATCTTTTTCGACCATATTTCTCCAAAAAAATATTTGTCATCATCAAGTGAAATTCTTTATCGTATTTCCTCACCTCTTTACATTGTCTTGCAGATGAAGAAATTACTAAGAGAAAGATATGATCCTATTTATGTCGATAGGACCAAGGCTAAGGTATAAATCTAGATCTTGATAATCTAGTTTGGTTAGAGTTAAGGGAAATTGATGTTGTTTGTTGCTGTTGTTTGTTGTTATTGCTGATGCAAGTATCTCCTATGGAGAGTAACTGAAATTAATGTACCTCATAGTTGGGCTGTACCTTCCTCAGGTGTCAAATGTATGCTTGGTTACATTGTGGTATGTTAGAGTATATTCTTGCCTTTGGATAACGACCGTAGGACAATGTGTCGTTGTTTTTTCTTACTATAAACTCTACAAAAGGAACAATGATGTCTCCATAGGAAAAGCATATGTGAGTTGAGTAGATCATAACTGAACTTTTATTAATCAATTTATCTGCATTAATATTTGCCAATTAGTCTTTGTCATAACTCGATTGCAAAAAACAGATTATATCTATTTTCGTAGTGGTGAGAATCAGGTTGAATTTCACGACTCATCATGTACCGAATGACTTAAATTGCATCACATGCATAGATGAATGCCTCTAAAAGGGTCATGTATATGTCAGCATTAGGACAATGAATTTTAATCAACTCAAAAGAACAACCTCTCTGCCTTCTCAGAGCATGATTCGATTAAACATTTATCATCAGAGAAGAATTCCTTTACTTTACGCATCTAAAAGATTCTCTTAAAGTCTACCAGATAATATGTTGTTGATTGTACCTACAATTTCATGAGTGTTGAGAGATTCCATTCGTCGTTTATCATTCATGGTTTGAAAGTCAAATCATGAACCCTCTGATTTAGTGTATAGGGGTCTGGGTGTTGTGAGAATCAAACCCGTATTCTGTATTTAAGATAAATCTTCACTAATGAGCTTGGATTCTTAAATACTATGAATTCAGTTTCTTCTTCAGAGTAAGCCAACTAGAGGAATAGCTTAGAATTTTTTCAACATAGTTGGATTGAGAGAGTTGTTGTGGAATCTACATAAAATTAAAACACAATATTTCAGTTTTATGCAAAATCACCAAACAATATCTTAGAATCAGCCAAAAACCACCAATATTCAATTTTTATGCAAAACCACCAAAACAATATTCTATCAACGACAATAATGAAAAATTGTGCACAAGATTGGCTCAGAAAACAATTTGCAATGAATTCCACAGAAATAAAAATCAATATTCAAATTCTTACAAAGCCACAAAACAATTATTTGACTGAGCAACAAATCACTGTTTTTATTTCCCCATATTGTTGATCACATAAAAACTTATATGTTTCTCTTTTTTATCAAATCAAAATTTAATATATGAAATAAGTCATACATTAATATTTTCATATTTACTTAGATAGATATGTCTATATATATTATGATTCAATATCTACTTAGCTGCTAACAAAAAAAAAGAAAAAAAGGTTGTTTGTTTAGAATTTTAAGCAGCTACAAAAACACATACACAAATTATAAAAGGAGAAAACTAACTAAGGCTAACTGACTTGAGCTTGGTTAGTTTGGTTGACTTTGCTGAGAACACACATTTTACATATTTGTTAAATAACCTTGAAGAAATATATAAAAAGAAGAATAATAAGTAACCTTGGAGAAATATACATAAAAATCTTGTAAGATAAACATGTCTAAGAGAAAAGATAAGTCTGAGTGAGAGAAATGAAACCCAAAAAAATTTTGATAAGGAAATTCTAAAAACTGAAAATTTTATTTTGCTTAAAAAAGAACTTTGAAACAAATGTAGAGATGATGGAGAAAAAAGACGATTCTAAACCCCTTTTTCTACAAAAACCATAATTAAGATCAATTTTTTGGTTAGAAGAGAAAAGTTTTGAAATAGATGTATAGATGATGGAATCATGGAAATATCACATTAAGATAGAAAAACAAGAGAAGAAATGATCTTTGAGTGAATAAATAAGATCCTAAAACTACAATTTTTTTTGTTGCTCAAAAGTATAAACTTCATCTTTTCTAACATATATATGTTGAGTTTTGATTAATAAGAAGCTACTTTTAAATTTGAAATTATGTGCGAATTGTTTAAATATACTTGCGATTAATATACTGTCAAATATTAAGGATAAAAAGAAATGTAAAATAAAAAACAAAGAATCAATTTAGGTAATAAAAAAATCAATTTAGGCCATGATAAACTTAAACCAATCAGCCCAATTGCAAATTTCTTACCTCGTCAAAATAATAGTAAACCAAAGAAGGAAAATACCAACTTTCCAAGACTAGATCATTGACTGTGTCAACATATTATCATTTGAACATATTATTGTTAGACTATGTTCAAATAAATCATGAAAAAAAAATCAAAGCCAATATACACATTGTTTCACATGCTTTGGTAACCATAAAACCAGAACCACCCACCTTGAGTTAGGTGGGCACAAGTCAAGCACTTGTTATTTTTGGCGTACTTGGTACTTGGCTTAGCTT